TTTCCCGGACATGTGGCGGCAGTATGTCCTGTATTTCCACATTGTACGCATTTAGTGGGTTGAATCAATTGGGCAGGGGTTGGTGTATTCACCTGATTGGCCGGGTTGTTCTGGCATTCATTGGATGAATGAGCAACCATGCGCCCCAGGTGGTAGGAACAGCTTTGCAGCGGACGTCTGTTAGCCATTGTCGACGGCTTGGAGGCGCGTGAGCTTGTTCTGGACATGGTGCACTTGGCGGTGCTGTGGAAGACGTACCGTTGATGGTTTTCACAGTAGTAATTCAAAACACCTGATGTTGTCATTTTGTTTGGCCGTCCGGCCGGGGATTGTGGCGTTGTTGTTGCCACCGGTTTGGGCGTGGGCGGGTGTGTTTGCCTGTACTTGTCGGCTAGAGCCAAGCATTCATCCCATGTGAGGGACCGATTGGCTGTTGCCCGTGCGTGGATCTGGGTGTGGAGCCCGCCTGTTGTGATGGACATGAATTGTCCAATGAGAGACCGGGTGATTGAGGTTTTGTGTTGCGTGAGCTCGTTCACCCGTAGGGCAAGGTATTGAAGATACTCGTCCCATAGGCGGGTCCCAAATTGCGAGTAAAATTTGTCCATGGATGGTCAGAGTTGCTGAAACCGGGTGAAATGTTTGAAAGGTGATAGCCCGAACCTTGCTTTCAGCTTTTCCGCAATGACTTTGTACTCCTCGAATCCCTGGTCATACAGCAGTTGTGTTGCTTTGGCTACCTTGGGTTGGGAGTGTCCAATCAAGCAGTCGACTTTGGTGAAGTTTGGGGTTCCGTTGTGCTTGAATGCTGTTTCCAGGCTTCGCAGGTACAGCTCAATACTTTCGTTCAGTGACTGGTGCAGATAATCCATGCGTCTGCGCAGTAGGGATCTGGCCAAGAGTTTGGTTGCGCCAGGTCCTGCGTGGAAATCCAGTGGTGAGTTCAGTACCACATTAAGAGGCGTAGCGCCTTTGGCCTGAAGCGCTATGATGAGTTCGTCTCGTGGCACTTTGTTGGCGTTTGGTATGCCATTCTCTATCGTGTATATGCGGATTGCATTCAGCATGAGGCTGTTCCATGGGTTGGCTATCGCCCGTGCTTGCAAGGATGCCACCAGCTGCGGTGACGCGTTTGCATTGGAAGTCCCTGGTTGGGGCTCGGATTTGGTGCGGTCATTATTCATCTTTGTGGGTCATCGTCGGTCGTCGGCTGAGCCCCCAGTAAGAGTTACCCTGACATAACTGTAAGTCAACACTAGATTAAGGTAGACTTGGAAAGACTTAGACACTTGTTTGAAGTAATGCCAGTCTATTCACACATGTACACTGTTGCCCACAAAAGGTAGAGATCTGCACCGCTCGGAGGTTCTTGATAGAATGAGGCTAGACTGGCCTCTCACTGTACAAGATGGCTGAGGGTTGGCGCGTGGGCCATTGCGCCGGCGTGCCCTGATTGGGCGTGACGTCATAACAAAGTTATTGTCGAGTACGCGCTTCTACTGTTGCGCGGGACTAATGGCAGCTGGCCGTTACTACATGACCGACCGCAAAGAACTCCTGGTATGAGTTGCTGATGAATGTCATGAAGCTGATTATAGTAGAGTAATTTCTGTATTGCTGGGCTGCGCTGCCCGTGAGATGTACTGCATTCCTCCATGAGATATTCTTGACGGATTCTCTACTGACGGAGAATTACGGTATGTTACGATAAGTTACCAGGAATCTTGTTATGACTAATTTTTTGTTACAGCTATTTCTGGTGCTGTTCCAGTTGGAAGGAGCCATGTTGTTAAATTCTTCTACTGTACATAGATGTCGCTAAGAACACCACTTGGAGCGTCACTAGCAGCATCTTCTCATCATCCTGAAAATAAATTTGTCGTCCATCCTTATCATTTAGCAACACTGTTCTACTGATGAAGGGGTATCAGGAGTGGTCCACATCTGAACTTCCACGGTTGTCTTCTGTGAACAGTGAATTTGAACAGGATGCAGATATCAAAATTGGACATTTCATGAAAAATGAGGCATGCCCTCTGGGATGGAAATCAAATCCTATGGGCTGTGAATTTTCGGATAGTATCCACGGTATTGGTTATCATGGCCAACAGAGGCCGAGAGATGGCATTATTTGTACCAAATCTCCCAATAAATGCTTCGGGAATATCGGGATGCCCGGAACTAATCCTGCCAGCAACGGCCGGTGCACAACCAATTCTGCTGGTAGCGCCAGCTACCACCACTATCTGGCAGCTTGGCCACGACGAGAGACCAGATTTAGCCTCAAGAAGCGTCGTTGAGCGCTGAAGCCTTCTAGGTATCAGTTGTCTGATTGTATCGTGCGCACGATCGAAATCATTCGTTCGGTTATATTCACGATTCATTTGATTCGTAGTTCTGGGAATCTCATCTACCCTTGCTACGTTTTTCTTTCTTACCCGTGTTCGCTCTTGTGCAAATATACCAACCTGTTCTTTGTACTCCCATCGAGTACGATCCAGCCGCGTAACAGCTGAATACTGTGCCCTGTTCAATTTCAATTCAATTTTGCTGTAAATTGCTTTGGCGAGAAGCACCATAATGTTTCATATCATGCAGTCCTCTTCCCTGGTCAGTTCCAGTTGCTGACTCTGATGGTTGAGCTAAAATTCGAATTAAAATCAGTTGTGCCGAAATGCTATCTACTTCACATGGAAATGCGGATTCAATTGACTCCAGCAGATCTATAATACGTCCTTGAATTCTGGAAGACCAGTTCCTATTGTCAACACCCCATTCCTGTGTTGTGAGTTGGAACATGAAATTCTATCTTGTTATCTATTGTTATCCAAGTGTATTGAAATCAACTCAAATACTTCCATTATCTGAAAATGCAATACGATATACGGTATTTTACAATGCAACTACTGTAAACTCATAAAGTACCAAACACAGAATAGATAGGGTTTTAGGGAGAATTCCGAAGTTACCCGAGGAAGTTTCTTTGAGAATACACATCATGATAAGTTTACAAGATTGACACGGAGTTTTCACAGATGATGGGCGAGCATTTCAGGGTATCATCAGTTAAAATGGGAAATTATTCCTAAATTTTGTTTCGATGGTGCTAGTCCTACTGTGAATATTTTGGTGAACATGAGATTTTGGGAATTACTAGGGGACACAAAACTAAACGAGCCAGTTTTTTAGTGCACGTGAAATTGTTGCTAATTTCGCAGCTGGAGGGAAAATAGGAGGGTATTGCCCTTGCAATTTTGTGAGAAATATTATGCAGCAGTCTGAATAGCTAGGAAACTAGGTTTCTTTCCGTCACGAGGCACGTGATCTATTCCAATATTTGAAGAGAAATCTGGGATAACAATCTGGAGAAATAGGGTACACGTCATGTGCATCATGTTGATCAAGGACAAATTCCAAACTTATCCAGCGAAAATGATACTGAAATCCACTGAATTCAGGGTTCCTCATCGAGCACTACAGTCATGTTACAGTATACAAGTCCCAAACTTTTGGAATCCCGGAAATTGAAAAGAGAGAAGCAAATTGAAAAGGGGGTATGTGAGCTTTGACTCACAAAATCAAATTTAATGTCTGTGGTAGTGTGGTGTTTATTCTGACAAATCTGAAGCTGGATAAGTGGACCATCATTGGAAGCATGAGTGAACATGATGCACAGAATCAAACTCAGCTCTTGGTTCTACTGAATCCAGGCACATGGGGCTGAGCAGGAAAGTAAACTGCTGCCAATCCGTTTGTTGGGACAGACAGCAAATTACCTGATGCATATGCATGCTGTGGGCTAGTCAATTGAACCATTCATTTCCATGGAATCCACAACAGATTTTTTTTCCACAGGATTTATGACCTGTGCAGTATTAACATGCTGTAGGCAATAGTTGATCACATAGGAGAGATAGGATTGATGCCATGCATGTATGTCTATGGTGAGCTGAGCAATCAGCTTCAATGAATATTAAATGTGGAAGATTCCCATGGTCACAATATTTGCATGGGATGCAAGCATTTAGTTGTGAGAAACATAAATCTTACATTAATCTTAGCCTTAACATATTTTTGTTTGGGCTGTGCTGAAATCTTGAAAAATTGGAATCACATTCTTCATTTCCAGGAAGGTCTTCCAATTATTTTTTGATGCTTACTCTCAAAATCAGTTTTATGAATTCCAATTACTTTTTGGTACATTATTGTGGCAAAAAAGTGTTCTGTGACAAATTTTATAGCTTTTTATTCCGGTGGCACTTAGCCTTGTGTATCATACTTTGATGCATTACGAATTTGAACAACTTTCAAAATGCAAATGTATTGCAAAATCTGTGAAGGCAAAATGGCTGAACTGGACAAAAGCAAACGTAGAATTTTATTCAGGATTGAACTTCACATCATTTTTTCATTATCCAGTGGCCTAGACCCCATTAGGTACATAAAAAAGTATGGCTTGTGTACAACTGGGTAACCATGCATGCCTACAGTGCTTACACCCAAATGTTCATTTGGAATCATGGAAGTGGACATGGTAAAAGAAAGTTTCTGAAACTTATTCAAATGAAATTACTTTACCCTCATTGATTTAGCTTAGAAGTGCTGATTTAAACGACTATTGCAGAAAAGGATGATCACCACTATTGTACAAGCATCAATGAATTCTTGCTGTATCAATTTAGATGTGAGAAAAACTTGGAATAATAATGAGAAATAATCAGACAAAAGGGAAGTAATCCACAGTCCATCAACAAAATAAAAATAGCTCAGGGAAAGCCAACAACCACAGAATATTTAGTGTCATGGAGAGACTGAACACTTTTCACAGAAAGGAATTCCCCAGTGTCATTCTTTGAAGAAAAATGCATGTATCATCCTTGTCAGTTTTAATGTTCCTGTCAAAAAGGAGAAAAAATGGCACTTCCTGCAAAAAGTCCCTTGCCCCCTTTGAAAAATTGAACATAGAAAAACGTCACTGGCTTTATCCAGAGTTCCCTGACTCACACACTCAATCAGATCATTATTTTTAGAAGAAAAAAGATCTCACAAATGAATTTCTGCTGCATGACAAAAATTGAAAGAAAACCAACTACTACGCAATCTTTGTGCAAGAATGAATGGTTACTATGCACCAGCTTCAACACCTTGAAAACAGTAGAACAAAACTTAAACAAACTAGCTGCTGTGAAATTGGTATGAATGGAAGAAAAGAATCCTGTTAGTTGGAAAAAGATGATCAGATTTTTTCAAAATTATTCACTCTTACAATAAGTAAGTGTAAATTAGCATTATGGAAAGCAAGAAATTATCTATGACTAAAAAAAACAAATATTTAATCACACAGCCAGAATGTCCACAGTTTGTAGCATACACTTGAAAACTCCAGTCCCGAACAGAGTTTGGTGATTCTTCTGAACAAAGTGTTCAGATCAGGAAAATTTCGAGAAGAGAACAATTTTAATTTGACAGGATTCCTGGACAACAAACAAGCACAAAAACAAAACAATTTCACTCATAGTTTGCCATTGGCTAGTTCTTCATCACTGCTGTAGTCCTCTTCATCTGAATCAACACTGTCAATGGTTGTATAGCTCCCCAGACAACACAATTTGTCCACAATATCAGAATATCCTGCCTGCAAGGCCACATCTGCAGCAGTCAGCCCAGACCAGGACTCAAGTTCAGGATCAGCCCCGCAATGAATTAGATATTTGCACATCTGCGGAAAATTTTTCTCAGCTGCGACATGCAGTGCAGATTTCCCAGACAGACCATCAGTCACATTCACATCAGCCCCATACATCAGCAGGCACTCAACAATATCAAAGTGTCCTCCAGCAACAGCAAGATGCAAACTTGTCAGTCCATCCGTGTTGATGAGTTCAAAGTCCACAGATGATCCATGAACTGGAGGACAAGGCTTTGGGAAAAGTGATGCCTCTTGAAATGAGATGGGCATCAATAGACTCTGCACGGATTCCAAGTCTCCCAGATTGCAGGCAAGATGAAGTGGCGTGTTACCATTACGATCACGTGTAGTCAAGCTGCATCCTCCAATTACGAGTCGACGAACTGCCCATGGTAGCGATCGCAGCACTGCCAAATGAACTGGACTCAATGACAAGTTGTTCTTCAAATCCAAGTATTTTCCTGAAGGAGCGAGACGAACAAGACTGAACACGGCCGCAATGAAGCCCTGCAATAGAAAATGGAACACCGTTATTCACATGTTCATCAGTCATGAAAAATCATTCCCATTCCCATAGGGTAGTACAAAGATCAAACCCAAGAACATTCTGTACCAAACCGAAAGCCCTTTAATCCCCAGTTGGGCCAGCGCGCCACCCAATTTTTTCCATGAATTTTTCGCGCCATACAAAATGTTTTAAATTCTTTAATTTTTAAAAATTGTTTTCCCTCCCTAAAAACGAAAGAAAATTACCGTATAGCAAATAAAATAGTTTATGAAAATTTTATTTGAAGCAGACAAATAAGACAAAAATCCCGGACTGTCTAATGTGATTTCTCGAAACAGGCAGCAGCTTTCCATGAATTTTGGCACCATATGAATTTTTAAAACTCTTGATATTTTTAAAATTGTTTCCCTTTTGAAAAAAAAACAGTGATATCAAATAATGAAGGTTTAAAAAAATTTATTTGAGGCACAAAAGAAATTAGAACACATTGCTGCTGTAGCAAGGGCTCCAACATGAGGATCAATAGATTGGGCAATGCAATGTCATTTTTCAGATGCTAAATTTAGTGCTTACAAATTTTTGTTGCGGACAAAAATAAGAATAAATGCTAGAGGTTGAGCAAAAAGTTATTTGAACACTGGAAAAAATTTTGGCTCCAGCTTTAAGGGAATGAAGGTGAAGTGGATTTTTCCCTCTTTATCAAGGCAGTTTCTGAACATGGTGCACGAACAGAATGTGGAATGTAAAATTGCCAGATGCTAAAATTGAAGTATTTACTGATATGACCATGCATAATTTTAATTACATACCCCCCTCATACAGTTCTGAAAATAACAATAAATTTGCATTGTAACTGTAACCAATTAACAAACGAGATGAAAAAAGCATGCACTCATCCTCTATACAAATTGGAGCACTATGACAGCAACTACAATCTGGTGTGTTTTTCCAGTTACAGTGGCCCAGGTCCACCAGCACCTGATTTTCCTGTCACTTTTATTACTGTTGTCAACCTCTAGCACTTATAATTAATTTTTCTTCTTCAACAAAAATTTGTAAGCTCTAATTTTAGCCTCTGAAAATGACATCCCACTGCTCAATCCATGGATCCTCTTGTTAGAGCCCTTGCGACAGCAGCAATGTGTTCTTATTTATTGTGTGCCTCACGTCAATATTTTAAAACCTTCATTATTTCATATCAATCTCTCTGTTCTTCAAGAGGGAAAACAAAATTGAAAATTTCAAAATTTGAAGAGTTTCAAAAATTCATTTGTTCAACATAATCAGAATTGACTGTGACCAGATCGTTTTCCACATGCTGTTGCTGTATCCCTGCAAATTGCATGGACACAAAATTGTTACTGTAAGTCTGAGTACATTCCTATTCCCATTGCATGAGTTGATTGAATACTGTTATCCTAAACTGCCAATACTTCTCCAAGTTTTTCTGGAGGTTAAAATAATACAACTCAAGGTGTAAATCGATTGGAAAAATGAAGCATGCATGGAAACTTCACCATTGAACTAGCTTTTATGGTTGGTTCAATTGCTGAGGCACATAATTCATGCATGAACCCACTTGGTGACTTCAAGGTGATGAATATATATCATTTTCCGCACAAAATAACATCAATAGACGGAAAATAAAATCAATGAATAGTTCTAATAATCTTGAGGAGCCCAGGGAAATAGGACGAGTGTGGACTCCAGAACTAAATGCTCAAATGTTACGTTTTCAAAATTAAACACAGCTGGAAAATGCTTGTAGGCAAATTAATTTTTTAATAGCAATATTCATTCAGCTCAATTCATGACGTTGTAATCACCTCTGAAATGGCGGAATGAAGAACAGTGTCACCATCTTCGTCCGGAGAAAAAGCTTCTTGGAATAGAGCAAAGGCATCTTCCTCTTTCAACTCACTCTCTTCGGTCAGAGTTTCATCCAAAATACCAGACTCGGAATCCAAAATCAAGCCGGAGTCCAGACATTCGTAATCTACGCACTTGTCAAAGCTCTGTTCGGACACTCCACTGATGTTCACCCGGGTTCCACCAACTGGCGGCGATTCCTCGTCACTGTCGATGATGCAGCTCGCAGAGTCCAAGTTTCCCGAAAGGAATCCGGAATCCAAACACTCGGAATTGAACTTGGACCCCTCGTCTTTGCGATTATCACGAGCCGAACCCCTTGCACTGGGGGCACTTGGTGTTTGATACATAGTCTCGGGTGAAACTGTGCTGGAGTTGTGGAGAGGACTTGGATTTTGCTTCACGTTTCGGGTCAGCCCAGAATTTCACAACGTCCAACAACCATCGGCTCTCCAGGCTTCCTTATGTTTTTCACGTCGCCGCGTAGCTGCGGGCTTCACCGCCTGGGTTTTCCCCAGCTCTCCCCCGAAAACTGCTCACCGCATTCCAGTCTGTCGTACGGTATCTTCACTGCATGAACACATCTCGTCTATATATTGTACTGTACAACCAGAGAAAGAGAGAGAGGAATCATCTTCAAATAACGCATGTACCGTATGTACTCAATTCCTGGTGTTTCCGGCAGACAATTCGAGACTGCACGGGTTGCGAAATAATCGGAAATTCTCGCGAGAAATAACACGGAAGAGACCTGCATAGTACAGTACAAAATTTCGAAAAACACGGGAAAACCCCACTCAAAATTTGTGAGGCTCTATTAATATTTTACGACGGACAGAACAAAATCCGGTGATATTGCATTACAGGATTTGTTATTATTGTGTAAGAATGGAAATTTATGTTTTGAAAATATACCTTGTGAGATCTGGGACATCCGGAGCTGCATAAGAAAGTACTGTACTGTCGTGTTATCACCCTGATTACGGGCCGAACACGGCCTATGCCTCAGCGAGTGAACACCTTTAAAACTTCCAATGTTTTCCATCACCAGTGAGTACAGAATTTCACACAAAACTTCGTGACAAATGCTTATCGGTACGAGTATTAGCTACCATTGTCAACAGTGGGCATTGGAATGGAATTGGGAAATCCCATAAAGCGTTTGCAAGGCATGGTCACACGGCGGGGAATGGGGAAAACCCCTTCCGAAATTCACCCTCCCTCCCTCCCGCATATCAAAGGGGAGCGTTTGTGAAACGAATCGGGGAGCTAGAGCGGAGTTCCGAAACTCGCAGCTGCGGTGCGTGCACTGCGCGCGCACGAGTGTGCAGGGCAGGAAGACAGGGAAGAGGGACACAAGTGAGGCTGATACAGGAACGAGATTGTGACGGATCCACCACAAATGCCAGTCGCTCCAGAAGATCATCTCGAAAACCAGGAGTTGGCCATGCGTCATGACTTATGCATGTGTACAATATTTTTTTCTTTCAAATCCAGCACGTAATTTCTGAATTCAGCAATCGTACAGTTCGCGTTTTTGTAGCAATTTCGAACGCGTAAACATTTTGTGTCGCGTACCACTTGGGACTTCGTATTCAAATTTGTAACTTGTCGTATTTTTGGAAGTGCAGCACATTTTAACCTTGATAACTTGAATCTCCGTATATATCCCCAAGTCAAAGGTTATTTCCCTCAGATTGAATTTTTTGGAGGCCTTAAAGTTGTTATTCCCTTGACACAGGAAATAGATGAGCAATAACAATGTAACTCAATGTGTTTAAGAAAAGAAGTGAAAGACTAATTTAGTAACTCCTGTCTCCAAATTCAGCATCCCGTCAACTCATTTAAGAAGCAATTCAGAGCCCAAAATATCACGAATTACAATGCTGTGTAATTCTCTTTTTTGTTCCCCAAGCACCAATGCTTTTTTATTCAACTCAAAACCTACCCAACGTCGAATATTTCTGCTGGTCCCTTGAAGTTCAACTTGAAAAGTTTTGACTGTTTAAGTATTATCCAAGTTTTTTTTAGGGCCATCTATACTGTAATTTATTGTGGTACAGTATTTGTTTTAGCTCATTTTGAAGTGCATACATGGGCAGACAGAAATCGTTCAAAATTGAGTCAACGGATGTGGCGGAGAAAGTGATGGTCGATCACCACGAATATAAGAAACATATACAGTGGCCCCCCGCCTAACAGACCTCCCATGTAAGGGATTTTTGTCAAACAGACCAGCTCTGCAAGCAGTTTTTCCTCCCGCACAACAGACAAAATCCGCCAAACAGACTTTTTTTGGTTTAAAATTAGTGTTGAAAATTTTTTAAGTAATTGAATTTGTGTAAAGGACTTTTTGTCCAACAGACTTGTCCCTTGCACGAATCAAGTCCGTTAGATGAGGGTTGACTGTACTGTGTTTCATTCGGCCTTTGTTGAAAGGGCTAATTTACCGGGATGCTCTTTAAGTTAGATATTGAAGTATTTGGCTTGAATTGATTCTTGCAGGTATTTCGGTCAGTTGTACAATAAGATATAGAGAAAACTATTTGGGAGAACTGCTTGTTTCTTTTCATTTTGTAGAATTGATACCAGGCTAACTGATGGATCATCCTGGATTTCCAGATCGGTAGGAGTTGTCTCTGAACTGATATCAACTTACTGGTGTACATAACGTCATAAATGGAACTCAGCGCGTATTTTTTCTCTTGAATTGGTCTTCCTTTCGAACGTCTCAGTACCTAGCCTCTGCTGATCATTGATAACCTGTGCACACGAACCTGTTGCAAGTACACAAATGATGTCCGTGAGAAAGATAAAAATACTGCGGCAAGAGGAGACTCTCGTATTGGAAACCCAACCCAGCGGAAACATCACTCTGAATGTACCAGGACACATTCCAGGCACGGAAACGAGCTTCCATGAGGATGACATCCTGTAAAGTGAACGAAGGACCCGGCATTCGTGACTTAATGGCCAGGAAACTGTCGAGATAATGCCGGAAACCCAGGGAAATGTGAATGACTGGGTGCTAAAAATGAGGTTCATCAGTGGGAAGTGTCCGGACTCCCGGAGGGGAAAGTTATCCGTTCACTGACGGTTCGTCAAAGACTCCTGGAATTGATGGGATTTGTTGCATCCAATCTGAGCCATTTAAGCAAGCCTGGTCGCGGAAATCGATTTACTTTGTACGTGTTGATCAGTCTGGTCCAGTCTCCAAATAGAGGATTCCTTGTAAAATTGTAGATGAAATTGGACGACTGACTCCCTTGTAGATTTGATGTGACTTCGTGAAAGACTTCAAACGGGTTTAAAAATACTGTATTTAGAAGATGAGGACGTTCTGCGCGAACGCGAAATTTGTGTTTTGTGTTCAAGTATTGCTCGTTCAAATGAAAGTGTGGCATGTTACTCAAAGATTGGTTTTTTTGTTCTATTGTAAAGGAAGCTAAATATAAAATTCTACGTCTGTAGTTTCCAACGTGTTCCTTTTGCCGTTGCTGTCAGCGTACTTCAATCAGAACTCAAACTTTGTGCATTGAGATTTTAGAAGTTTTTTGCGAAATTCTACGGCTTTCAGGATATTTTTTTTTTTTTACCCGGAGACGATTTTTCTATAAATCTTGTTTTCATTGATGAAATCAGACGCAGGTGCATGAGCTTTTCAATTTCAAAAGGAAGTGAATGGACAATTTATGTAGGCGCAGGTTTCTGTTGATGTGACACATTTTGGGAAAAGTTTGTACCTGAAATCGCTGACTTGTAGTAGTTGTAGCTTATGTCAACCCTCGGATACTCCTTATTTTTTTGTGCTGCTGGCGTGCGGCAGTAAATCAACGAAGTGCCCGCTGTTGACGTCAGACCCGCCGCCTTCCGGGATTTGGTAATTTTCCCCACTTTCCAATTCGTGGATGGAGAAGGATTTTCCCATCGTCTTCCGAAAAATTACCAGAACATCCCTGGGATCTGTGATTCACTTGGAACAATGCTGTACTTTTCACCCGTCTTCCCCGGTCGTGGAATTTTTTTTGTGGTGGCCAACTTCAGTTTTTCTTCTGAAAAAACTTTATTAAATTTAGATTTTGAATTCTGGGACAAAAGTCTCCATTAGTTAAAAAGAAAAAAAATGAAATAGAGGGGTCACAACATGTGTGTGTGTTTTTTTAAACTAAAAATTCGAAGGGAATAAATGCTTGTGTTCAGCAATGAATGTTTTATGCATATTTTAGGACAAAATCTAAGAGAGAAGGTATCTGAATATATTTAAAGGAATTTTTGGTCAGCGGCATCTATATTTCAATTTATCTGTGACAGCTTTCTTTGTGTCGTATTTTTGTCAGATGACATTTGTGTTTTCTTCTCATGAGATTGGTTGGCAACGCCAAAAACCAATCTCGTCTCCAGACGAAAATGCGAATGCCATCTGACAAAAAAAGAAACAAAGAAAGCTGTCACATATAAAATAGAAAATAGATGTCGCCCACAAAAAATCATTTAAATATGTACAGATACATTTTTTTTTAGATTTTTGTCCAAAAA